GAAGAAGCTCGGCAATGAAGTGCAATGATCTTATCTGAAATTGGGGCGCTTGACGGTTTGCATACGCCTAGGTTACTCCCCAAGGGCGGCATACAAACCGGAAGTGGCAATTTTTCAGTGAAATAGTCGATGATCTAAGAATATATGCCCTTTGGCGAAACAATAAATTCGGACCCATTAATCAGTTTCCCGACATTTGCATACGATTCCGGAGAGGGGAGCTCGACTTAATCGAACATCAATTGACTAGACATCTTTCAAATAGTCGATGATTTAAGTTCGTATGCACATCTCTGAACCGATAAACTAAGATATTCTGTATAACTGGATACTATTTGCATACGAATTCAATGTGAGCATACGTTGTAATAATCGGGCAAACCCGAGCGTGCCTCGGTCCGGCGCGGCGCCACGCATTGCAGGCCAGAGGTGCACCGAAAGCGAACTAGATAATCTGGAAGTCTCATAATCTCACTTCTCATGAAACCGGGTCAAAGATTAACTTCCTGAGAGTGATGGGGGTATTCGAAGACTCGAATTGCAGATATATTTGTATTTATTCATCAGAAATTCACAGCTCAACAAAATTACATGTGTGAGAAGTTTAGTACCAAGAAAATGTTTTGTGTGATTTTACTTCAAAAAACAGGGCTTTGAGAAGATGATAAAAAAAAATTGATGACAAAATACTCGCAGGATGATCAAAAGGGATCGTACAGGGAGAAGAGGGGTGGATTATTGCTCATGATCGAGATTATTGAATGCCTAAATCATTACTTGCTACACTCTACCCGGCTGACGCAGCAAATCATTGTTCAGATATTAAAATTGTTTCAGCAAAAAAAATAATTCAAACCCGGAATTCATATTTCTGGCACAATTCGACAATTTGGCGCAAGATCGCTATAAGAGTGCTGCGTGTAAATAATATCGCTAGATGCTGTAGAGCTGTATTCGTCATGATAATCTCAACTCGATAGTGAAATGAAACATAGTGTTCAGGTGAAGAAAAATCAACAACTACCCCATAGTTCATTTGTTATGAACAGCCTGTGGATTTTTTAATAACAATGAAAAATCTCTCAGGAAAATTATTTCAATTGGTTTTTGAAATTATCGTAAAATCGGTTCAGAAACAACTAAGTTACAATGGGAGATATTTATGGTGAACCATCCTGTACGGAATGTGCAAATTTTATACAAACCATCATCTCATATATATACCGTGTGGTCCACTAACCATGCTCAAAATTTTAACATTTCTTCGATTATCGATTATTTGAAGAATATCCAGTCAAATGATGTTCGAATAAGTCGAGCTCCCCTCTCCGGAATCGTATGCAAATGTCGGGAAATTGATTAATGGGTCCCAATTCATTCCAAAGGGCATACATTCTTAGATCATCGACTATACCACTGAAAAATAGCTACTTCCGGTTCGTATGCCGCCCTTAGGGAGTGACCTAGGCGTATGCAAACCGGCAAGCGCCCCAATTTTCGTGAGCTTCTTAAACAAAATTTTGTACTTTTTTCCAACCGAAAGGTGAGGTCAGGGCCGGGGCAAGGACTGGGTGCGACTCTCCGAGGCACTTCTTCCTGTTGACTTAGACTAAGTGAGTGGGTCCCTTAAATGGCATACCGACTTAGAACATCGATAAACCCTGTGTCGCGGGCCAACAGTCTAATAGTATTAGCACCATTCTTCATAATTTTAGTATGTATATTGAGGAAGTATTCAAGATTATCGTGAAACACCCTGTATGTCTGGTGGTTGTTATTTTTTATAGCGTGATGGAATGAAATGGCGCTTTTTAATAATCATAAATACTGATTATTTGTGACATGATAATTTATTGTGCGTTTCGTTCCATGCTTTGTGCTTTTGAATATTGTTACTTATCTAAATTTCATTTTTTCATCAGATCTCCCTCACACTCATTCCTACCGCAATTGAAAGACTGTGTGTTCAATGAAAAAATCGAGGTTAATTTTCATTGTTCTGAGGAATTCCTAAATATTGTGATTTTTTTACGGCGTTTCATCCAGAGTAGTTCAAAACAATAATCTAAACTGCTCAACACATGAAATTGCCTTGAAATTATCGTCTAAAAATCTATCACAAAGTGAGAACGACGCTCTGAAAATCCGGTTTTCCTCACAATTCCAGTGGTTTGATCTTGCAATACATTCTGTTGCAAAGTGACATGGTGATGACAATCTCTCCTACACGCTTTGGTCGCCAGAAAACCTCTCAATCGGTTTCCTGCTTCGAAATTTTCTTGCTCGTCAAAACACGTTTTTTTTTATTATTTGATGTCATAATTGATGTTTGAGGACCACCCTGTATGTAAGAATAGGTTGATCATGCATCATTTCAAGATTTTTGACCACGTACCGTTCGAAAGATTGACAGGAACACAAAGCCAATAGAAATTAAAGCATCAAATTATGCATTATCTTGAAAAAACATTCATATTTCAGTAACACGTGTGACAATTCCAAAAATTTTTTCACAGTATCGAGAAAACATATGAAGCAATATGTTTTTGACCAAAAAAAAAATTGAAGAATTTTTCTTTCAAACGGGAGGCGTTTGAGGTATCTGGACAAATGCACAGCTTTGATTATCATCCTGTAGAATCTCATCCGGAAAAGTTTTAATAGTCATATCCATAGGTTCGATTGTCAATGAAATGAGGTTTCAGAAACTGAAAAATAATTGAAAATCGGTTGAGGAAATCGAAAGTAATGAAGATTGAAATTTGATCGAAAAAATGCGATTTTACGGTTCATGTGTTGAGCAGTTTATATCGATTTTCGATACGGAATTTTTTTGTGCATTGTACTTCAGATAATGCAAAAATATCATGGTCCAATGAAATGAATATAAACCCATAGCATTTGTCAAATGATTTTGCAAAAACAAAGATAAAACAAAAATAAAATCATCAAAATATATTTATTTCATAATATCAAATATAAACACTAAAATTATATGTACAAATCAAAAAATCAAAATAACAAATGATAAAATGCAAAATCTAAAATCCTTAGAACGTTCAATCATAATTGTTTTCCACTTTACACAAATATAATTTGATTGAAAGTTGATTTGCTATAATTTTCATTGCCTATGTTTTGAATTTCGTATAATCATTGAAACAAAATACATAAAAAATAAATAACTATAAATAAACAACAATAGTAAGTAACAAAATCTGCAGTACTTAAGGGATATAATTATTATCAAATCAAAACTATTTATTTGTGTAATAGCAATATCGTGTTTCCTTTAGTTTTGTTTCTATTGGGTTGGGGATATTTTAATCCAAACATTCATAATCACGAAATCTTGTGCTGTTTACTTTACTCGAATATTTGAAAAATCTTCACCTTCATATTTTAAATTCCATCATTTGGTTTCCTGGCGCATTAGTTGAAATTTAATTCATTTTTGGACAGTTTACTCAAAAACAAAAGGTTTAGGAAGAGACAAGATCATTTATGACCTATAAGTATAATGTTTCTTATCTTTCCTTTTCTGATTGACCGTCTGTATGATTTTTTTTAGTCATAGGAATGTAACTTACTGAACGCATTCTGCTTGATGAAAATACATGTTTTGTTTCATAAAGAATACGAGAAAATATCTGTTGAGCAAGAATCTGAAAAATTGTTGCGATTTCATTTATTTCTTGTCTGTCATGCGCCCATCAATAGTCAAATAAATCATCTCTTGCAAAGTTTGAAGACTAAAATCGTCCTCCATTCTCTTTGGGTACCTATCATATTCTCTCCTTTGCGTAATCAATTGTATAAGGTTTCGAAAGAATCCGACTATAAAATTTGAAATGAAGCCACTGCTATAGTTAGATTTTGTGAATGTCGCTGCGGCCTGTACGAGGTAAACCTAAAAATCCTTGACATAACGAGAAATGTCCACGATGATATCATTTAACATGTATCATGTAACAGTTATACAATTGTTACAATTAACAATTATGAGTTGAATTTCATATTTTCCAATGACTGTGTTTATACAGACATTTAAAAATTATCATTTATCAAGTAACATGTAGAATGTTGGCCAACTTTTAACTTCTTACATTAAATGAACCAGATTTTCCTATTGTGCGCAACCTTGTACGCAAATTTTCTCGGATTGGTCCGCCCGGTAATGATATTAACCTAAAAATTAAAAAAACTGGCCGTCAACAGCATCATCAGGACAAAAAGCGCTTCTGCCTCATTCTCAAATGTTAATATGTTCATAACATTTGAGAATGTATTATTTTTACACATAAAAAAAGGAGGGTTAGGTTGAAAGGACTGACTTGTGCGCATGCGTATAATTTCTTCTTAAATGTTAATTTGGTCTGCATATATGGTACCATTTTCGCTACTTGTTACATGATAAATGTTAATTGATAATTGTCACATGATACATGTTAAATGACGCTGCATGAATCCACACTAAATTGTTGGGAACGAAAGGGGGAACTTCGTTACCGTATTTAGAGGGAAACCGCTGCCTGTATGAGGCACATCTCCAATAAGTCCTTGGCAGGATGGCAGAATGGGAAATATGTACGATCGAATCCACCATCTCTTGCACGGCAGTCACCGAAAGAAACTGCATCAGATAACGCGTTTGCGCAGTACAGAATCATTTCTTTGTTCTCCCTGCAAGAGATGTTCTTGTGGACAGTCTCCGATGGAATCATCTCTTGCAATTTTGAAAACTAATTTTTTCTCCTCTTTCATTGGGTACTAATCGTTTTTTTGCCTAATTTATCATTTAACCTTTCAAAAGAAGCCACTGCCATAGTAAGCACAAAAAGGGACTTTATGAGACTGTGTCAAGTCCTTCGTACGAATATAGTGGTGATACCAGAATCGTCAATGGCTGAATTGAATCTCATCCAGAAGTTGACGTAGTAACTTTGTGATCAGTTTTGAAACCTGACCAATATTCCCCAACAGACTTATGATGATATTTAATCCGGTAAAACCAGAGACTTGACACAACCTAAGAAAGAAAGTTACCGTTAAATTTAGAGTGGCACCGCTGCCTGTACGAGGCACATCTTCAAGTCCTTGGCAGAATGGAAAATATCCACGATGGAATCCACCATCTCTTGCACGGCAGTCACCGAAGGAAACTGCATCAAATAACGCGTTTGCGCAGTACAGAATCATTTCTTTGTTCTCCCTGCAAGAGATGTTCTTGTGGACAGTCTCCGATGGAATCATCTCTTGCAATTTTGAAAACTAATTTTTTCTCCTCTTTCATTGGGTACTAATCGTTTTTTTTCCCCAATTGAATCATTTAACGTTTCGAAAAAAGCCACTGCCATAGTAAACACGAAAAGGGACTTTATGAGACTGTGTCAAGTCCTTCGTACGACCATAGTGGTGATACTCGAATCGTCAATGGCTGAATTGAATCTCATCCAGAAGTTGACGTAGTAACTTTATGAGCAGGTTTGAAACCTGACCGATATTCCCCAACAGACTTATGATGATATTTTATCCGGTAAAACCAGAGACTTGACACAGCCTAAGAAGAAAAGTTACCGTGGAATTTAGAGGGGTACCGCTGCCTGTACGAGACACATCTTCAAGTCTTTGGCAGAATGGGAAATATCCACGATGGAATCCACCATCTCTTGCACGGCAGTCACCGCAGGAAACTGCATCAGATAACGCGCTTGCGCAGTTCAGAGTCCGCTCTGTGATCTCCCTGCAAGAGATGTTCTTGTGGACAGTCTCCGATGGAATCATTTCTTGCAATTTTGAAAACTAATTTTTTCCCTCTTTCATTGGGTACTAATCGCTTTTTTGCCTGAATGATCACTTAACGTTTCGAAAGAAGCCACTGCCATAGTAAGCACGAAAAGGGACTTCATGAGACTGTGTCAAGTCCTTCGTACGACCATAATGTTGATACCCGAATCGTCAATGGGTAAATTGAATCTCATCCAGAAATTGACGTAGTAACTCTGTGAGCAGGTTTGAAACCTGACCGATATCCCCAACTGACTTATGATGATATTTAATCCGGTAAAATCAGAGACTTGACACAGCCTAAGAAGGAAAGTTACCGTGAAATTTAGAGGGGCACCGCTGCCTGTACGAGGCACATCTTCAAGTCCTTGGCAGAATGGGAAATATCCACGATGGAATCCACCATCTCTTGCACGGCAGTCACCGAAGGAAACCGCATCAAATAACGCGTTTGCGCAGTTCAGAGTCATTTCTTTGTTCTCATTGCACGAGATGTTCTTGTGGACAGTGTCTCTGATGGAAGCATCTCTTGCAATTTTGAAAACTAAATTGTTTCCCTTCCTCTTTGGGTATTTATCTTTATTTTTGCCTAATTGATCGTTTAACGTTTCAAAAGAAGCCACTGCCATAGTAAGCACAACAAGGGACTTTATGAGACTGTGTCAAATCCTTCGTACGGCCATAGATGTTGCCGTAGTAACTTTGTGAGCAGGTTTGAAACCTGACTGATATCCCCAACAGACTTATGATGATATTTTATCCGGTAAAACCAGAGACTTGACACAGCCTGATAAGGAAAGTTACCGTGAAATCTAGAGGGGCACCGCTGCCTGTACGAGACACATCTTCAAGTCCTTGGCAGAATGGGAAATATCCACGATGGAATCCACCATTTCTTGCACGGCAATCACCGAAGGAAACTGTATCAGACAACGCGTTTGCGCAGTACAGAGTCCGCTCTGTGATCTCCCTGCAAGAGATGTTCTTGTCGACGGTGTCTCCGATGGAATCGTCTCTTGCAATTCCGAAAACTAATTTTTTTCTCCTTCGGGTAATTATCGTTATTTTGTCTAATTGATCATTTAACGTTTCGAAAGAAGCCACTGCCATAGTAAGCACAAAAAGGGACTTTATGAGACTGTGTCAAGTCCTTCGTACGACTATAGTGGTGATACCCGAATCGTCAATGGCTGAATTGATTCTCATCCAGAAGTTGACGTAGTAAGTTTGTGAGCAGGTTTGAAACCTGACCGATATTCCCCAACAGTTATGGTGAAACTTTATCCGGTAAAATCAGAGACTTGACACAGCCTAAAAAGGAAAGTTACCGTGAAACTTAGAGGGGCACCGCTGCCTGTACGAGACACATCTTCAAGTCCTTGGCAGAATGGGAAATATCCACGATGGAATCCACCATCTCTTGCACGGCAGTCACCGAAGGAAACTGCATCGCCGCCTGCTTGGTTTTACTGACGCTGCAAGCCAACGCGTCAGATAGTGCGTTTGCGCAGTTCAGAGTCCGCTCTTTGATGTCTCTGCAAGAGATGTTCTTGTGGACGGTGTCTCCGATGAGGACGAGCTTGTGGGCGCTCAAAACGACGAATTTGCCGTGAGCGAGGAAGATCCTGGGCGGCTGATTGTGTTCGACTGTTTGCAGGAAGGCGTCGATGGCGAGCGTCAGGTTGTTGTGATGCGTCACCACTTGGTTGGCGTAGAAGATCAGCAGGCGTTTGTCGTCGGAGTCTAGCCCGAAGGCTTTGTGGTCCCTGTAAGAAAGCTGCTATGAACACGGCCGTCTTAAACTATGCTGGGGCATGTCGTTTTCGCTGTTGTTAATGGTTTTCAAGCTGTTGTGTGATTAGATATGTTGGTGTTTCAATAACTGAGTTAATATGATAAATCTATAGCAAAATATTCAAGTCGAACATTGTCAAACAATCTGTATTTCATAATATAATAATTTTATACAATTCATTACCGAATGAATTGAAAAATATACAAGGAGATTTTAAATCAATCTTGAACAATACCTGGTCAGGACAATTTGATTGAAAAATATTTGGCATGATATGATTACTCAGAATTGGAATGTTATAAATTTCCTCTCAAGAAAAAGTTTAAATTAGTTTCCACTGAGTGGAATTAATTATGTACCTAGTTAACCTCAATATTTTTTTAATATGTGTTCATGTATCCCTATTATAAGCAGATATGTTTCTTGGGTTAATAAAGACAATCAATCAATCAATATGGTTCGTCCATGTCAGTTGCTAAACAGTTACCTACGTAGAAATTTCGTCCGGTGACGATCTTGTTTGAGGGCTTGCTTTTGTTGATGAAAAGCGTGTATAAAATATTGAAATTATCGAATAACCTTGCTGATACGTTACCTAATACATGACGTATTATTATGTTATAACACGTTGGAGTTGATTTATTAACGTACATACACACATTCTCAATTAAAATCCTGATTTATTAGATACATGAAATGTACCTATGAAAGATATTAATGCTCTGGTAATGATCATCTGCGAAGTTATCCCTACCATTCGCGATTTCATTCATTGGTCTGGGTTTGACGCTTGAAATAGTTGACGTATACTAGCTTTTATAAAGGATATCGATTTTCTGGCACTGATTCCGCAAAGTTATCCCCACCATTCCCGATTTCATTCATTCATTCATCCGTGTTTGGCGCTTCAAATTGTTGACGTATTGGTACTCGCTTTTATGAATGATATCAATTCTCTGGCAATGATTCCGGAAAATTATCCCCACCATTCCCGATTTCATTCATTCATCTGGGTTTCACGCTTGAAATAGTTGACGTATACTCGCTTTTATGAAGGATATCAATTCTCTGGCAATGATTCCGGAAAGTTATCCCCACCATTCCCGATTTCATTCATTTATCTGGGTTTCACGCTTGAAATAGTTGCAAATACTCGCTTTTATAAAGGATATCAATTCTCTGGCAATGATTCCGGAAAGTTATCCCCACCATTCCCGATTTCATTCATTTATCTGGGTTTCACGCTTGAAATAGTTGACGTATACTCGCTTTTATAAAGGATATCAATTCTCTGGCAATGATTCCCCAAAGTTATCCCCTCCATTCGCGATTTCACTCATTTATCTGGGTTTGACGCATAAAATAGTTGACGTATACTCGCTTTTATAAAGGATATCAATTCTCTGGCAATGATTCCGCAAAGTTATCCCCTCCATTCGCGATTTCACTCATTTATCTGGGTTTGACGCTTAAAATAGTTGACGTATACTCGCTTTTATAAAGGATATCAATTATCTGGCAATGATTCCGCAAAGTTATCCCCTCCATTCGCGATTTCACTCATTTATCTGGGTTCGACGCTTAAAATTGTTGACGTATACTCGCTTTTATAAAGGATATCAATTATCTGGCAATGATTCCGCAAAGTTATCCCCTCCATTCGCGATTTCACTCATTTATCTGGGTTCGACGCTTAAAATTGTTGACGTATACTCGCTTTTATAAAGGATATCAATTATCTGGCAATGATTCCGCAAAGTTATCCCCTCCATTCGCGATTTCACTCATTTATCTGGGTTTGACGCTTAAAATAGTTGACGTATACTCGCTTTCATAAAGGATATCAATTCTCTGGCAATGATTCCGCAAAGTTATCCCCACCATTTGCGATTTTATCCGTTTATCCTTGTTAGGCGTTTAAAATTGTGGACGTATCGCTTTTATGAAGAATATCAATTCTCCGGCATTGATTCCGCAAAGTTATCTCCACCATTCGTGATTTCATTCATTTATCCGTATTTGGCGCTCAAAATTGTTGGCGTATACTCATTTTTCAATTATTTATGATCGAATCACGGTAAATTGTTATTTAGTTTGAGGCATACCCATCGAAGGCGACAGTGTCTGCCAATTGGACGCAGTTGTCGTAGTTCTGTTGCAAGTTGGGCGGCAATTCCTTGATGATCTCCGCATGGTTCTTCGACATGTTCTCCTTCGATTCGAAGCTGACGTAGTCGTACTCTTCACCCCACTCCTGGTGGTCCTTTTTGAAGAGAAGAAGACCGTTGCCCTGGATGAAGGAGGCTATTTGTCGGATGTCCTCGGTTAGGGCTCTCGAACAGGCTACCAGTTGTTCGAGTTCGTCGGGTTTTCTCGGTTTTTCTTCAACGGTGGGTCTGGCGAGGACGTCGAGAGACCAGTTGTGGGCGGAGAGGTTGTCGGAGGCTTCCTGTACGAGGCTGTAGGATTTTTTCAAGGCCGAAACGAGAGGAGATAATTTACCTGCAAGAAAATAATGACTTCATTCCATTTACTTGGTTTCTTCGTTGGATTTTCTTATATTATAGTGTGTCCCAGCTGAAACTTGTCACCTCCCCAGCCCCTAGCTCTGAAGTCGTAGAATGATAGAATTGTCGACTCATTGATGTTATTTCAATATGAGTAGGAACTGGAAACTTTCGTTGAAAAAGGATAATTTTATATTTACTAACTCTAGAAGAATCCCAATCCCGTTCAATCCCAAGTATACGAAGGGACTTGATAAGGTTTTCAAAGACTTAGGTTTTGAAAGCGTTTATCAGTCAGGGTCAAAATTAGGCAATTTATTAGGCAATCCGAAAGATAAAGTGGACACACTTGAAAAGTCGGGAATATACGAAATAAGTTGTAATGATTATGATAAAACATATATAGGCCAAACCAGGGGACCCATAAAAACAAGGTTCAAAGAACACATAGCCCATTTAAAATATGGCAGGTTAGATAAATCTTGTGTAGCCGAACATATGTTCAATCACAATCATAACACACATATTACTAACCTCAAATTAGTTAAGCAAGTTAATAACATTAGAAAACTAGACGCATATGAAAGCTTGGAGATATTTAAGAATAATAATAGAGTAATGAATAAGGATAATGGACCTATTCCATATAGCCCTCTATATAGTTTAGTGAAATAAAAATTAAGATTAACATGCGAACTCAACCATGACAAACATTAACTTGACGGTTAGTATTTTTCACAGTTGGGTGAACATATACCTAGTATATAAGCAGCACACTAGAATAGGATATTTAGTTTTAATCTTCTCCTGAAGATGCTAACATAGTTAGCGAAACACGTGTCGAGGCGTGAAAAAATCGGTTTGGTTAGTGGTAAAACAGTGTAGTGTGGCCAAAAGAGATTTATTCACGATTTTCACAAAAACTTTGTGTATAATAATGTATTTTTCTGCCTGTGGGCGCTTCACATCTGTCAGATGTCAGATGCCATCACATATTTCAGTTTAAACTAGGTCAAATTCACGGATTGAATCACTGACTCAACTGAATTAATTCGTGCCAACCCTGATTGTGTTACACTACACTGTGTAAACGCCTCGACACGTGTTTCGCTAACTATGTTAGCATCTTCAGGAGACGATTGGAACTTTATCACAAAGACCATATATAAGACGACATCGAAGCGATTTTAACGAACACAACAGCCAGGATAAGAAACTACGACTATGTGTTCTAGCATCTGACATGCATACAGTTGAAGCAGATACGATCGCACTGGCCATATAAGGCGACCTTGAAGGGTATATAACGAATACAACAGGCAGATGAAGATACATCGACTTCTGTTCTATTCTATCATCTCACATGGATACTATTGGAGCAAAATAGATCGCAAAGACCATATGAGACGACATCGAAGCGGGTATAACCGTTACCACCGATACAACAAGGCCTGCATGCTCCGTGGGTGACGTCACTTAGTCAGGCCTAACCAGCGGCTCGAAACGACAAGCGTTTACAGCGCCATAAGGCGATCGCATATTTCGATTTTAGTTTTAGATCATCATTGAGCCGATTTTGCTGTTTTTTGAAGGGCTTCCGGTTAAAAAAGGATGCCAGTCGTCAACTGAGCCCTTCTTCGCACCCCATTCGATTTTATTATGGAAAAACGAAGTTTTAAAGCAAAAACCAGGATAAAACACAAATATCCACCCATACAGCAACCCATTTGAATTAAATATATTGGCAAAAATTGTGGTGAAGGTAAACGTCACACCTACTTATACAGGGCCCGCAGAACATAAACTTATCGTGAGATTGATCGAAAGAAAATTGTGGAAATGTATTTTATTTTGATTGACATGCCCTTTGTTACAATTACCTATATTTATCTTGGAGAATTCCTATTACCTGAAAAAATAACCAGTGAGTGTTTTCAATTTTCTGTTGTTGGATTTTTCACCCAAGTGGATGTTGCACTTGAAACAGTAATTTTTAAGGGTAAAACTGCATTTATCATGCGATGGTTTTTTTTTGAAAATGTTTTTCGGTACTCACGTATTTTTGTCTGATAAACCGAATTTTATAATGAAAATGTGAACAAACCACTATTTATTGAGATATTTCAAGAAAAAGTTCGAAATTTCGCCTTCTTTCTCCCCTTGTGTTGGGGGCATTTGAAGCTACTTGCTCTTATTTTGTCATTGGACACTTTATATACTCATGATGTACTTCAATGGCACATTTTTATATAAAAAATTCAACAGGAAATATGATTTTTATGGCGAGTTTTTCATATTTAGTGAACAAGCATTCCAAATGACGACCATTTAATCAATAGTCAATCAAAATACGAGATGTCAAATGTCAATAGATTGCTTTCGAATTACATTACACACGCCATTATTTTGAATGATATCCTTCCTTCTTTTCACTAAATATGGATTAATCTCAAGAAAATCATATATATAGTTGAATTATATATAAATTGTCCAATATGATGAAAAAAGAAGGGAAATTTGTTCTAAATGCCATCCAGAAGACAGGTGAAAAAGAAAGTGAAATTTGGAACTTTTTAGTCAAATATCTTCATGATGAATATCATGATAAATGCAGTTTCACCTTTTTAAGTAGAGTGTTTGTAGTTCATGTTAATATGATAGTTGCAATTTGATCATTGGAATGAATTCTGCATTCATTGCCACGAGGCAAATGACCGTTTTCAGAAAGAAATTTGAGAATGAGAATTAAAAATGCCCGTTTATCATGAACATTCAAGAAAATTTCCTCGAATTCAGAGATGATTTTGTTGACTATAATATACGAATACAAAACTAACTGCACAATCAAAGCTTTTCTATTTTTCCTCTACTTATACTTTTTATGAGAGAGTAATTGTCTTCTATTATTAATTCATCATTATAAATTAAGCTCTGTTTACTACTGAACTTAGATGGAGTAAAATCCTCGCGGTGAATTGCATATACCCACATTTTCGATAGCTCCTCGTCCAACGGGAAACTAAAAGCATGAACTTTTGAACCACCCACATAATTCCCCCGACAAAAGGGAACACAACACTTGAAAGGCATTGTTATTTCGCCACAAAATATTTCACAAAACAGTAATTTTTCCGCCAATTATTTTGATGAATAAACAACAAAAGAATTCGGGACCGTTTCAAAAACATACGTGAATCACCGATGAATTAACACGAACTGACACGTTAGTCGACAAGCGATAAAATAAAACACTGGCCTCTCTTGGAGACGTCACGAGCTGTTTACGTCAGAGTCTGCTGGCCTTGTTGTATCGGTGGTAACGGTATAACGCACACAACAGGCAGAACAAGAAACTTCAACTTCAAATATGTTTACACTGTGATTCTGCATTCTAGCATCTGACATGCATACAGTTGAAACAGATACGATCGCACTGACCATATAGGATGACTTTGAAGGGTATATAACGAGTACAACAGTATTCTAGTTGAAAGTTTGAGAAAATTTAGAGCAGATTTTCGGGAACTTTTAAACCCTCGAAATATACCTTTTGGAGAGAAACAAAAAAAAATATCTCAAAAACTTTTGCATAATGCATATTAGGGTTCAATTTACTCCTCACCACCTTACCTATCACATCTCCAAAGTAATATATCGAATTACCAGTAACCCTGTATATGATTGTGTTGCCTTCAAAAAACTGCCAGAAGGCAATTTCTTTTGTTTGATTTTCAGGCAACAAAATTGTCATTTTCATTTCAACAAAAAATAGATCTCGTGCAAACGAGTGAATAAAGGTATCCTACCTGCCAAATTCTTGTCGGAAGCCCTAGCCGCGTTCCCCAAAGCCCCCTCCCCAAACTCGGCCAAATCGTGCAACGAAGCCCTCAGCCTCGTCACCGCCAGCCGGATCTCCATCAGACTGCCCCCCTCCAACCGCTCCCTGCTCCGCCATTGCGGCCCCACGTGACCCAACAGCTTCGAAATGGCTGCCGTCGTGTCGGTCTGCAGTCGCTCCAGACACTCCAACGCCGAATTCAGCTCCAACGGCAGCTGTTTGGCTTGCTGCGCATGCGCGGGCACATCGTAGGTTTGGGATTGGAGGAGTGGGGGTGCTTTTTTGTGGTGGGATTTGGGTACGTCGTAGTCGGGTATGGTGGTGGGGGTGAGGCTGCGGCGAGAGGGGGTTGAGGAGTCGAAGGTCGTGAGGGAGCTGGCTGAGCTCGAGGGGGTGAGGTTGTTGGTCGGGTGGCCTGAAAAACGGGATGATAAGTTAGGTTAGGTTGAGGCACAACCTCACTTTTCTTATTTGTGGCCATGATCGGAGATGAACTCATCTAAGGATTTCAGGTGATGTCAGAAAATTACAATCGCAAACTTTCAGTGACTATACAGGGTGTCCCGAAATTAGCCTGCCAAACTTCACCAGCGGCTTCTGAGACAAAAAATAGGAAGAAAAGTTCCAATGAATATGAGTCGAGAAATATCTCCTAAGGGAGCTACGGCCCGCTGAGAAAGTGCTCCTGAAGATGATATTTCTTGAATATTTCCGAAACGCCACGTGATAAAATAATGCAATTTGGTACAAGAACTAAACTTTCCATGCCCAATGCGGTGAACATAAAATCATTTCAAAGTTTCATTCAGGAGTGTATAATACAGGGTGGGACTACATTAAATATTGCTCAAACTTTTTCGTATGCATATTTTTTGACAATTTAATCTCAGATTATGAAAATCCACACCGTTTCACAAAAAAAGGTGCTCTTGTTCCGCATCGATTAGATGTATCATTTTCGAGTGAAATCGATTCAAAAATATTCATGCACTCACACCTTATGCATAACATTGCCAATTTTCAAATCATAGAGGCTATAAAAAAAATAAAGTACTTTCTTTTTACCAAACAATCTCATGAAAGCGCGAAAAATTGGTTAATAATGATGATGAATCTACTTCAATTTTTGTGCATTGTTCTCCATTTCCACTACGCCTCATTGCAATGTTATGCATAATATCTGAGATATAACAATATTTTCAAATTGCTTTTACTCGATCATAATACATCTGATCGTCAAGGAACAAGAGTACTTTTTTTCTGTAAAGAGGTATGAAATTTCATATTCCGGGATTAAATTGTCGGAAAATATGCATACAAATAATTATGAGCAATATTTATTGTAGTCCCACCCTGTATTATACACTCCTGATTGAAATTTTGGCATGGAAAGTTTGGTTTTTGTACCAAATTGCACATTTTTATCACATGGAGTTTCGGAAATAATCAAGAAATATCATCTTCAGGCACCCCTTTCAGGAAGCTGTTGCTTTCTCAGGAGACATTTCTCGACTCATGTTCATTGAAAGTTTCCTTTCTATTTTTGGTCGTAAAAGCCGCTGGTGAAGTTTGGCAGGCTAATTTCGGGACACCCTGTATAGTCTTATTGATAGGAAGACGAAAAGTTGACAAAATCACATTTCCGTGTCTAACTATTATTTTTCAAATGGCAGCCATTTTTTGACAAGCAAAGGATTTCTTGAGGAATCTAACGATACTAATTTATTTGCGATTAGACTGAAAATAAGAACATACATTTAATATTAAGTACTAAGGAAAATATTGGATATTCATTTATTCTCATCTGTCAAGTGTGCGATGGATAACCATGATACATAATATTTTGCAGTTAATTTTTTAGGTCTGACTTTCTTCGTTGCTGAGATATTCTAGTTTCTCGATGAGACAAAACATAATCTCAGTAAAAATTTGAAATCGAGCTAGGAGGTTGAAACTTGGTACATAAAGTAAATTGGGCACGGTGAATCCGAATTTGGAGAGAAATCAGAGGTCAGACCAGCGGTGTGCTATTTGCTCAGCCGTCAGAAAAAGAACAAGAATCTAAGATTTTTTTCGAGTGAATCGAGGTTGCTGATAACAAATATCACTACGAATCGTTCGTATATCTGAAGATAACCAACATTCGGGCCAGCGGATCGCTACTTCCTCAGCATTTGGAGATAGAACAGGAGTCTGAGATTTTTTCGAGTGAACCGAGGTCGCTAATGACGACTATCTGTTCCAATTGTTCGTATCTCTTGAGATAATCAAGATTCATAATTTCCTATACTTCTTGGAGGCAATCGATAGATCTCGTTGAGTCCTTCAATTTGATATATTACACGATGGGTCTAACTTTCTTTGTTGCTGAGATATTCTAGTTTTTCGATGAGACAAAAAACATAACCTCACTAAAAATTTAAAATCGAGCTAGGAGGTTGGAACCTGATCCCTAGGGTAGATGGGATACGATGATAACAAATTTGGAGGGAATAAGAAGATGGGACCAGCAATTCGCTACTTTTTCAGCCGTTGAAGATAGAACAAAAATCGAAGATTTCTTGTGAGTGAAACGATGTCGCTGATGACGACTATCTGTTCCAATCGTCTAGACCTTCAATTCGATATATTACACGATAGGTCTAACCCTATTTTTTAGAGTTCAGGTATCCACTTCCCACTTCGATTATACATTATTTTGATAGATAATAGAACTGAAATTCAACGGAAATAATAGTAGATTGAAACGCCCCGCCTCGCAAATGCAAAATTCGCTTGTCAAACAAAGTGTCACTTTTGATCCGTATGAAACATGCAATTTTTTCTGCAACCGAAACAATTAACTTGAACAAATATGTGAAGTAACCACCAATACCGTGCCATATGCATGCAATGCAACGAATAAATTCCGTATGGTGAGAATATTCTACCTGTATCAACAGCAGGTTTATTCAATTTTCAAGGATGTTCGAATTGTAGTTTCAATATAAATACAACCACAGAGTGACATATTTGTGTATGGACCAGGTGCTCCAATGGCAAATACCGCGCCAGTGCCAGGTATAGGAACAAGACGTGTGAAATGTTAGATTAGTGAGCATTTCAACAATAATAATAGCGATTATTTATTCCTCTCCATACTACATTGTGTTTGACTTGATGATCAAATGGAGGTGAACAATATCATTGTGTGAGACAAATAACTATTGCTTGCCGTGATTAATCAAAAACAAGTTATCCATCCCGAGAATAACAAATGAAATACAGATCAAGCAAGTATGTAAAGTATCTTGAAGGCTTCCCTGACCATAACGAAGATACTTGACTGAGATGTTTATAATCCCCATACTCAACTATAATGAGGTGTGTATTTATATCTCTGGCATGGGTATGAAATGCCAAATCTGCCGAAATCGGAAACAAATCAGGTATGCGTCCCAACCCAAATAACCAATCATAACAATGTTGTTTATTCTTGATGAGATCTAGTACATCCTTTTTAGTTCCTAGGAGCTGAAGTTCAACTTTAGCTCCTAGGAACTGAAGTTCAATTTTAGCTCCTAGGAGCTGAAGTTCAACTTTAGCTCCTAGCAACTAAAGTTCAATTTTAGCTCCTAGGATATAAATATCCCTATTTTTGTGTCAGTAATCGAAACGTCAATTCAAGAGCTAATTTTGGTATCAAAACGGACGACTTTTGTGTCGGTTGCAGAAAAATGTATGTCTTCTCACCTAAAAGAGGCCTAGGTACGTCGTACGCCTCCCCAGTGGAGTCCCTAGGCGAGGCCTGCGAGGAGGGCGAGGGGGAGCATCGGGGGCAGCTCTTGGAGCCCCCCTCGGCGAGGGGCACGGCGCGCGGCGGCACGTCGTAGTCCTCGGCGGAGGAGGCGGCAGAGGAGGGGGTGGGGCTCAGGCCGCCGCCGAGGGGGGTGGCTGCCCCTCGGAGGTGCGGGGCGCATCTGGACGGCGGCATGTCGTACAGATAGACATCGTTGAATTTCTTCGGGGTGATTACCTGCAACAAGAATTTGGTTTAGTACTTGTGTATGACTCCATTTAATAATAATAAAGGGTTTTCCAACAAGCAGGGTTGGAAAAAATCATGATTTTTTAAAAGAATTCAAAACTCGTGATTTTTATTAAAAAAATCAAAAAAATTCGAGAAAAACGTGATTTTTTCAGTTTTTTTTTATTCTGAATAATAATCGATATTTTGAAATTGCTTTACTTGCTGAAATCTTCATGGACAACTTGGAGCGAATAATACATAAACATTCATTAATAAAACAATGTTTGTATTGGTATAGATACGTAGATGACGTTATAGTATGCTTTAAAGGAACCAATAGACAATTAGACACTTTCCATCAATATATAAATACTATTCATCCAAACATTAAATTCACAATAGAAATAGAGACTGAAAATTCAATCAATTTCTTAGATTTGACAATAAGTAAAATTAACGATAAACATGATTTTTCAATTTTCCATAAACCTTCCCACACTGATATCACTATTCATAATAATTCAACACACCCTTATCAACATAAAATTGCGGCATATAATAGTATGATACACAGGCTAGTGAATGTCCCTCTTTCGGAAGTAAATTTCAATAAAGAACTCAATATCATAAAACAGATTGCTGTCAACAACGGATACAACGTTAATTTGATAGACAGTATTCTTTCTAAAAAACTTCATCATAAAGCTATTCAAGAAGTTTATCCTACACGTCCTACCATCAAGAATAATAATCAAAATTATAGAACTTTAACCTATTTCGGATCATCAACTGAGAAATTAGCTTCATTTCTACATAAACAGGACTTAAAAGTGGCATATAGAACAAATAACACGTTGGGACGGTTTATCAAGAATAATAAAGACAAAACTTCTAAATTCGAAAAATCAGGGGTATATATCGGTCAGACAGGTCGTACGTTTAATCAGCGCATTCATGAACATAAGATGAATTTTATGAAAAAGAAAACAAATTTAACATACGCCAACCATATATTAGAAGAAAACCATAGTTTTGATGATAATTTCGAAATTCTGCACGTAGAAAATAAAGGACTGAAACTCAATCATTTTGAATTATTTTAATAGTTCACCACTGTTGAATTTGTTTTCTTAGTACGTAATAATATGTATTTGATATCAACTCTTTCAAGTTAATCCGGTATACAGTAATTTAATGTAGATATTGTGCCTAATTTCCGAAAATGGAGGTTTATCGTACCTGTCCACAGGTAACTAATCGTTCAGGTTGGGAAGGTAAGATATATAAAAGTTAAGCAAGCCAACGTTAGTTTAGTTCATTGTACCAGTATATCACCTGACGAAGTTACTGTGTTAGCGAATCATGTCGTGTGTTCGATAAATTTTGTGGAAATCTTATCGTTTGTGAAGTTTTTACAATAATCGATATGTTTAGATCCATTTTAAGTACCTATGTATCTCTACATGCAAACGCAAACAATAACAAATAGCATTTTCCTGTTTTGACATATCTTGTATTGGTTTATTCTTGTCAGACCTTGCGAAATCCCAACCCTGCCTTACAGTGGCGGGTTTCACAAAAAAATATTCCTGAAGTTGCTTAACTTCTTCCTATTCTGAAACAATTTTTATGTGCTGTCTCCTCGTCCGCTTCGGTAGAGAGAGTATTTTCTACATTTGGATTGGTTCACTCCAATTTACGAAATAAATTAGGAGTGGAGAAAGCGGGAAAATTCGTATTTTTGTACAAATACTAGAATGAAAATAAAAATTAACATTGCATTTTTTTGAAGATATCTATTTTTTTTTTCAATATTAAGAATATAGTTTTATTTGCAGTTTGTATTTTGAGTATATTTTATAAAATAAATGAATTTTATTTCTGATTTATTTTATTCAGTGAATAAAATAAAAAAATCACTCGATTTAAATCATTGATTTAAATCGTGATTTAAATCAAATGATTTAAATCAGGCGAACCCTGCCAACAAGAGGTGTTATTTTGAATAGCCCGCTATTTTGGTAGATGTCACTTTTGAAGCTGTCTGTTATTGATATTTGACAAGTAGAAACTATGCCATTAATAGTTATTTATTATACAAGGGAAAAAAGAAGTGAATTTTAGCTCCAGGCCACCAGGTTGTGTTGTCTCCCGACGCGTAGCGGAAGGAGACAAAAAACCGTGAGCTAAAATCTAAAATTTTTCCCGTGTATAATACACTGTTTTTTTCTGTGACAGAAAAAGGACGAATCAATATTGAGAAGATATAACATTATTTTGAAATCTGAAACTTATCGACGTGAAATTTTAAGTCTTTAACAGTAGGGACACCTGCGTTGTAGGTGTAGGTATCTTTATCATTCTTTTGAAGTAATCAAATATATGATGTCACTTCTGTCAGTCTAATTCTGCTGTGATTTGATTCAAAAAAATTGCGAATTCAGTGGTTTCTTAGTAATATACGTAACCGCGAAGTCGAATGGAAGATAAAAGGACTTGCAGTTCTTTTTCGGAGACGGTATTATTGACTCATTTTTCGGAACTAGAGCACAACAAAAGCCATCAACAGTGTACATATATGTGATATATATCCGGGAAAGAAGTACTCACTTTTTTCCCACGATAAAAAAGTAATTTATGAAAACTGACATTTTATAACCTGCCAGCAGAGATGATATGCTAAACTTTTTTCCCATCACAAAAAATAGAATATTGTGCAACAAGTGGGAAAAGTGCTTTTCCCCACATGTTGCACACTATACTTTTTCTACAACTTATTCAAAGAATTCGAAGTAATGTAAATATTGGTATTCATTTTATAATGTGGCACTATGCCACATTGAATATTGTGACCAAAGAGTAGACGCCCTTTCTATAGTTCCTCAAAGTATTTAAAAAAAGTACCCTTTCCGAAAAAGATTTTATTTCTGTATTTTTTTAGAATCCATAAGTTTTTCGTTTATGCCAATTCATACTTTTTTCTTGAGATTTCCGGAAACAAATCCAACTTTCGCAGCTTCTTCCATTATCTCTGTCTCTGGCGGTGTATTTATCAAAATCGTCACATCTCGGTATATACAGGGTGGCCCACGGTCGATGGTACCTTAGACGTATACGGAAAACGGTACATTGGATTATCCTGAAAATTTGGTTACTCTAATAAGCGTTTGTGATCTAACGATTCGAAATATTTTCAGCGAAGCAGCGTTGCCACTTTTACCAAAAAGTAGCATCATCTTTGTTATTTCAAATGGAACACCCTGTATTTCATTGCGTTTTTAGATTCTTCTCAAATAGCTGATTCCATCAATGTATCACACTTGGGGTCTAGCAGGAATTATTACATAATGTATTGTCACCGAAATTATGAACACCTGCCAAATTTCAAGTCAACCGGAGTCATGGAATTTTGGTTGAAATTAAAAAAAATGGCTGCCCCAAGATGGCGGACAAGATTTGGTCCGATTCCATTCAAAATTGGTAAGTGGGGGTTTTTGAGGTCGAAGATCATGATTTTTTTGCTAAAATTCATAGATTCAAGATGGCGGCTTCTAAATAATTTTTTGTTTTTGTATAAATGACGATAACTCCATTGTTATCAACACAAAACTATTACTGCGACATACCATCTGTAAGAGAAATAAAAGTTATTCGTAACTAAGTCATAGTGAGCTATGACCTACATTTGAAAAACTAAAGTTGGTGCTGATATCTCAAATTCTAGAAGAGTTGGTATAAATTTCATATTTTTTTCGAAATCACTTCGAAAAACTGCCATGAGAATGTGAAATTCTTATTTGAATATTTTCATGAATAAAGAAGTTAAGGAGGAGACATGAAATTGATCAAAATCTGTTTTTTGCTTATGGAACAAAAACGAATAGATTTTATCAGAATATTTTTTCATATTATACTTGGCCTTGACAAACTCCACATTTGGTGTCATTCAACCGACCTCGTATCTCTCACCGTTAAAAAGATACCCATGGTGAGCATGGTAAGTGGGACACACTGTATGTATATGTAATTTTTCTTTTTTATCCTGTGAAGTTTGACTTGTCATTTGTACCTAATTACTTGATATGGCCATTGAATTTACTACTATTGCGATGCACTATGGAACGTACTGTTCGGAACACCCGGTACAACACTGACTGCACCTTCGAAGAAACCTTCGTCATCTTTATTCCTTGAATTTGGCGAACCGTGAAACCTCGCAAAGAGAACGATAAAGCGATATGATGCATGATGGTATATCCAAGTAAGGAAGTAAGGATACCAACGCTGGAATTAAAACTTGATTTGAAGAAGTAGATTTCACCTTAGATGTACACGAAGTACGCAAAGAGAATTCCTCATGGAGTCAAGTTTATTTATAGGCCTTATTCATTACGAGAAGCGTTTTATTTGCCCAGCTATACACGACTTCGCGTATAGTCACTAAAGCTTTTTAGCTTTTATCATTTTATGAAAAGTCTCACGGAAATGCGATCCATTAATAACATGATAAGTACAGAAAATTTATGATAATATTAGTGCGTGTATATGCATAAACTTACAGCTTTAATATACATATCCTTTGAGTACCTCTAATACAATTATTAGAAAACATTCCATTACTTTTACTTTTTGTTATAGATTCATCTCGGAGTTCATTAACTCTGTAAGACCTAGTTGATTTTTATTAGATCATCACATCATTTATAGATAGAAATACTTTTCATCAGCACACAATACTAATCACAATGTTGGTATCACTGGTGACATCATCAGGTCATTTATGGATAATTAGAAAAACATAGGGTCCAGGACTGATCCTTGCGGGATACTATCGTATGATGTTCCTTTTTAACGGTAGTTACTTTTCTACTTCACCTCGTATGTTCAATTATATTGAAACAAAGACGACAACTCCAGGACAATTGAAATGCAAGGATTTTGTGAATCATACATTATTTGCAATGAAGCCTTCACATCCGTAAATAAATTTAATGGAAAACAATAGT